GCTGGCCCCAGCTTAGTCCCAGCACTTAAAAGAAAAAAAAAGAAGAAAGTTGAAAAAGAAATCAGACTTGAAATACGTGTGCTTTCCCACCAAGAAGGAATCCGAGTTCTTCAGATGTATGAGGATGGATAGGGCCTCCGTTCTTTTGGAGAAGAAAGTGTCAGATGTGACTAACCAGGTTGTGTTGGGAGCAAATATTTACCAAGTATTAAGGATCACTTATTACAGTCATATGTTGCAGGCTTTCAGAATAATTCTGCTGGTATAGTCCTCTGCTTGTAATTTACCCACTGCCAAGCGTAGGAGCCCTAAATGTTTTCATATTTACAAGTGCTTTTTAATTGAGAAGACGAGACCAGATTTAAGGTCTTGGAGCATTTGCTTAGAAATGAAATGACTTCTCCGAACAGACAGCTTTACTGTACTTGAAATTTGTAATTAAAATTTGAAGCCCTAAAGTTAGGTAAATGTCTGCAAGATCAGATTTGGGTTTTTCCTTCTAGGTCTTCAGAATTGAGAGGAGACTTGAATCGATTAATGTAGCTAATAACATACAATGCTACCCTCCTGTTAAACTGCTTGCCCTCGTGAATCTGCCATCGTGATTTTGAGAGACTACTTGACATGGCAACCCTCTACTAGTATTAGAGACCCTCTGTTTGCCTTGATGAATCAGGTTTTCCCCTGTGACTCCCTAGGCAAAAAGATATTTCTCTTTGTTAGAAGTTCTGCCTTGAATAAGAGCAGCCTGAAGCAGTTGAATGCTGGCTAATACACATGAAACTTGTGGGGTTTTTAAAGCAGGCTTTGCAGCTAAGTTTGAAACATCCTGAGAGAGAGAAGTCCATTAGCTAATTTTTGGTAATAGCATTTTTCTTCAGTTGTTATCCAAGACTTGATGGAAGATCAAAGGAGTCATTTTGTAAGCAAGAGTTTGCATGCATTACCTCATTATCCTGCCTTATTGGTATTTGTGATAGCGTAGGCTGATCATTGTGCCACACCTAGTACAAGCTGTATGCAAACTTCTGTCATATCTAACTAAAAAATACAGTAACGTTCTGTGGGAAAGGTCATGAGGAAGACGTTCCATAAAATGTGGGTGACTGAACTAGTACGGAGCCAATAAGTCAGTGCTTCAAATTGATTATGTAAAGAGCAGCAAACAAGCAGGGTTAAATGAACCTCTGTGTTCGAGCATGTAATGTGAAGGTGTGTCACTGAAGTGCATGTTGGCTTAAGACAAAGTAAAGCAAAGGAAGAAAATTTCCAGGGTTTGGAAATCACTGTTAAAATCATTGTGAAAGTTGTTGCTTTTGTAACTATGGCGTTCACTTTTGGTCTTCAGTGGAAAAAATAGCTGTGCATTTGCATAACATTTAAATTGCTTACCAAGAGCTGGGAGCTAGGTGGCGCCATTGATTTGTCTTCTGCCACTAAAAATCTTAGTTCAAAATCACTTGAAATTGGAAGTGGGAGTGAGTACGTTGTTCAGTTAGCAGTATGCAATACCTGCCCGTCTATCACCAATGCTAGAATCGCGGGGGTACTGCACATCTGTCAGAAGGAATCTATGGTTGGGTTCAACTTTCTTAATTGAGTTGTACCACTCTATCAATTGAGCGCAGTGAAGGGTAGTTTTTATACAGGGGGCAAGTTTACAAAATCCAGTGTATTTAGAGTGTTGTGCCAAACAGCATCTACACCGTCATGGGTGGCTTCAGTGCTGATTGTAGCAAACTAATGTGGGAAGGGTAATGCAGAGATTTAGCAAATGATCATTGTAATTGAAAATTATTGTGGCATGGGTGCACCGTAGGGAGGGTTTGAAGAGTAAAAGACTTGGGTATGCCCGTCACCAAACCACATGAGTGGAAAGGGCACGTGGGTGAGAGTGAGCAAAGGAGGTGGGAATCAGGGGTAAGAGTGACGTTTGGCTTTTTATCTGTGGCGAGAAGGGAGTATAGCCAGAAGTGAAGGCTGATGAGTTGTAGGCGACCGCTGACCCTCTGGATCATAGTGTACACATAAGAGGACTAGACAGGTGTTTGATGAATCCTCTTATACAGAGTCCTGCAACTGTCACACCAAGACCTTCCACACACACGTACATCTAGACAGGAGTATGTAGGAGTGGAGGCCACCCGAGACCTAACCCCCTCCCCCCCCACACACACACACACACTTTTAGACCATTGAGAGAGAATTCAAAGGCCAGACCAAATCCCCATTGATGGTTGTATTTTCAGCCAGAAGTCAACAGATAAGAACTGCTGCTGACTGCCTTGCACCTCAGTTTCTATCAGGGTGATGTCCCTCAGTCTTTCTGCAGCCCCAAGGCAGTAGGGGCTAGTGTTTGGGGTGGCCTATACTCCCCTTATTCTGGAGGTTATGAGCTTGTGGTACTTCTTAGGAGCTACCCTGCCACACATAGCCCAACTGTGTTGTCACCAGGCCCTCCAGTCAGATGCAGTTTATGGTCGTACTCAGGACCCAAGTTCTTGTTAATGGAGACGAGGGAAAAACCTTTTCATAACAATTTATATAATATGGGTTTATGTAAGTACTGTGCATCATTTATAAGGGAAGTGGGAGGAGAAAGATATTGTCATTATAGTTATACAGGATCAGGCACTGAAATATTTGCACACCTTGATTTGTGTATTTTGGCTGTATTCTACATCTCTGTAATTCCAGTATATTTAAGCTAGTTTATCATGCCTAAACCAGTGCCAGCAACTTAATGTGGTTTGTGTACATTTGGCTATTACTCATAAAGCCCTTGTATGTTTGTATAATTTTTCTACTTGGGTTAGAGATGTGTAGTACCAGCTTGTGACCATGTGGTGTCTTCCTTTATTTTAGCTGTTGTGTAATGTACATAAAGATTCTGATTGGATAAAATAGTTACACAATGTGGGGATCCCATTCTGATTATAAAAATCCTTCGTCATTATGCCTACAACCCACAGTCTACACAGTTGCTGATTGTAGAGAACAGGAGAGACTGAATAGGCTAGCTGGTACAGAAGAGCTGCAGAGATTAGTACAGATTCTTTAAGGTAAGGTTACTTCTCCTGAATTCCCTTCTAAATTTTGAAATGAATCAGTTGAAAAATCAGCTGCTTAAATCTAGGTACTTAAGAGCATAGTAAATAAAAAGATCATAAGCTGTAAAACAAGACACACTTCAGATTTTAAGAAGTCGCTGTCATTTGGATTTGAGGAATTTAACTAGTTTTATTTATTAGAAATGTAGAAAACTAGTTCTGTTTATTGTAGAAAATTTATTTACTGTTGAAAATTAATCAAGTTGGAGCTGCAAACATGTTCAGAAATGCCTAAACTATTCTTAATCTGTAAACTCATTGTTCATAGCAGCGTATACTTGCTTCTAAAATTACTTTTAAAGATTCTTGAAATCAATGTGAGTGAAGTTTGGCATCTTAGTGTTTTTTCAGCTCTTTGAGTAAAGATCTTTGGATGCTTAACAAAGAAAGGAAACCCCCTGTTCCTCAAGAATCTGAAAGCTAAAACGTTCACAGACTGACGGTGGTTTTAGAAAAGAAGTTAGAAAATATGAGGATATGTTAGGTATGAGCAGTTATTAGTTTTTTTGCGTAATTGACCTGACTGGATTAGGAAATAGTCTGTGGCTGGAAAGTGAACTCCAACTTTTGGAGTATGTGTATTTTTAATAGCTTGTTTAGTAAAAGGGGATCCCCTCTTAGAAGGGAGTCATTTCATCAAGGGCGAAATGTGTCTAGTCTTCTAGATTCAAGTAGCTTATGTTAATAAACTGTCAGGTAGAAATCTAGAGGGTGATAAAGGTGCAGTGTTTACTAAGGAGGTTTTCTGAGTGCATTAAAAAGGATTTAACGCCATGTGTAGCATCCAGGAGAACTTGGAGTTCTCTAAATTTCTGGGTAGTCAACCTTTGGGGACCAGATAGAACGTGCAATATATAAAATTATATGAATTGTGCCATAACCTGCCCTACAAGGAATACTAGGTGTCGTGCTTTCTCTCAAATAATGAGGTTTATCTAAAGGAAAGTCAGCAATTCACTTAATTTTCAGATTTTGTACTGTTTAACTTAATTCAGTTAAATGCTGATCTCCCCAATACTGTTTGCCATCTTTGAAATCTACTTCTTGAGTTAGTTTTGTAGGCTTCCCACTTGATCTTTCATTAAAGTCTCATCTGCAGGTGAATTTAATGCATAGTAGCTGCAAAGCAAAAAGGGATTGAACCAATCAAGGTTAATAAGGCGGTTTGGTGGGAGGGTAGTCACACGTTGAAAAATTTAAAGGATCAAAAGAAAGAGAGGATGAGAGATTAAGTTGTAGAGAACATAGTAGTGGAGACAAGTTGGTTCTTTGTAGAGCTGGGTGAATTTTTTGGTGAATAATTAATTTGCTGAGAGTGCTGATTGTTTAGTGAGCTGCTTCCCAACCTTTTGTGACAGCCAACCACTGACACACCATAAAATTTCTCGTGGCCCAGCATTCACTTTTAGCTTCAGATTTCAAAATGAAGAGGCAATGGTGAGGGTAGTATCATATGGCCCGGTAGAGGACAGCTTGGAAACAATTGTTTCACTGGCAATTTTCTTTTGCTTTTGCTAAGCAGTGCTTAAAAGCTTTAAAGTAAATATTATGGAAAACTGTTTTTGTTTTGAAAGGCGTTGAAAGCAAACAAATTGTAACAGTTCTTCTAACCAAAGAAGGTTTCGGGTTGAAAGCTAAGGCTGTGTGAAGCTTCAGTAGCCGATTCGATTCGGAGGAGATTCGGCTCGATTCGGGGATCGAATCTCCAAATCCGAATCAAATCAGGAGACCAGTTAAAAGCTCCAAATCAATTTGAAGCATCCCAGTCGATTCGGAAAAGTTTCAGAAAAGATTTGGCTGCTGGAGAGATTCAGCCATAATCTAAACAGGCAGCTGACACAGCTGCCTCCAACTGGTAAGTCTGATGGGGAGGGAAGCGGCATGGGGGAGGGAGGGATTGGGGCTGGGGCAAGCTGCCCAGCCGAGGCGCATTACTCGGGGAGGAGGGCAGGGGTGTGTGGGATGTGGGCGCAGCAGCGCTGGGAGCGGGGGCTATGCCCTGTTGCCGCTTGCTCAGCGGGGTGGGGCAGGGTGGGATGCAGGCATGGCTCCTTCCAGATGGAAGGGGGCAAGCAGCAGCAGGGCATAGCCCCCACTCCCAGCACTGCCACGCCCGCATCCCATCCCCTTCCGCGCTGGCTGGCAAGCGGCGGCAGGATAGAGCCCCCCACTCCCACCTTTGCAAGCATGGTAGCACTGGGAGCGGGGACTAGGCCTTGCTGCTGCCCAGAGTGAGCCGTGCCTGCATCGTGCCCCCCCCATGTGCTGGCCAGGCTGGGCACCCATGGGAGTTTCTCCCTCGGCTCCCCCCGCTGGTTTCAGCACCAGTGTTCCCTCTAAGCTGAGTGCTCGTGCTGCACTGCCAGACGCACCTGTGTGGCCATGCAGCTTAGAGGGAACGCTGATCAGCACGTCTGTAGAAAGTAGTTGTGGTCATATGTGGCCAGAGTACTATGTAAAAGATGACTTGGATCAGGAAGATGGAGCATGTGTCACTATCTTGGAATGTATTTTTAAAAATGTGTGCTTAGGTTAGAGAAAAATAAATGCAAAAATTAGGTACGACTGGTTTGATGGTTGTCTAAACCAGTAACAATCAGAAGGAAGTTGCCATTCCGTAATTAGCTAGGGCTTGCCTTGCTTTTTCATTTAATTGACTAAGTAAACCTGGCTAATTAGAGCCTCAATAAAATTTCATAGTTGTTGGCTTCACTAATTCAGGCAGTTCTAAAACCACTCTAATCAGTTTAGGTCAGTGTCCGTTGCAGATGGAATCTCTTCCAGATTGTCCCTTAGCATCCACCACAGCACCTGCTTGGATTTTCTCTGGCAACTCATATGGCCCTTGTACATGTGACGAATATCGCTGTCGTTTGTTACATGGCAAACTAAAATACATCAAATGTGTTTTACTTTTCTATGTAAAAAGGTCAGTTAAATTGAAATACTTTGACGAAGGCATACACTGTTACGGAATTTAATCACAATATGCCCCCAAACGCGTACGCTGTTATGCAATTAAGTTGCTAAAAAGGGCAATTAAACTGCTAAAAGGGACAATTTCATTACATGTACAAGGGCCTATAGGTCTTAGTCTGAGTTGCCTCCTGCCCATCTCTTTGTAAATGTCTTTTGGCAGTCAAGTTGTCGGGGACCATGTGTACAGTATTATGGAGCAGCATCGTCTACTTGACCTAATTACCTTTTGGATCATACGTAGCAGACTGTCCAGTGTTTTTGTTACTCGACCAAAATTTTTTTTCAGCTAGCTGCTGGATGCAGCAACGTATGAAAGCATGTCTTTAATTAGAGTCCATGATATATCCTTCTCTGAAACAATGGTGCCATTTTGTTAACGTGGAATATTGGCATGCTGACAATGAAAGATACCCAATGACATTTTCTGCTTTCTGTCAGCTTTCAAACTATATAGTACATAGGAGCAGGTATTCTACTCTACAAGTCCCTGAAGTCCATGCAGCAAAGATTTATTATCAAACTTTGTAGTCTAAGGTCAGTAGAGATGTAAATTTTCTGGAAGTTTTGAAGCCATGTGGAAAAAACCTGAAATTTTGGAAAAAATTGAAATGTATGCAATACTTATTTGCTTAGCACACTTTATAGATCTAACTTCACTTTGTTACTTTAAGAACATAAGGTATGATGTATTATGTATAACTTGGTTTGCTCATAAAATTATCGTGTTTGGTATATTTATTAAATTTTAAACGCATAGTTTATTCAGACAGTTACAAATTTACTAATTGAATTTACTTTAAAATGTTTTTAATTTGTGTTACAAATAGAGCTACAAACTGCTGAACTTTAAGGAAACTAGCATCTCTTAGTTTTTGCCAGTTTGTGAGAAGCAGGCAAAAGTTAAAGTTGAAAATAGAAGAAACCATCAGCATTATAGCAAAACCAAGAAAGTTATTCTGTATTCTGGACTTAGTCTCCTCCACAGTGTCAAGTGGATACAGAAAGCACTCCTTTTTAGAAAAAGAGTTGAGGGAAAAAAAGGAGGGGGGAAAGCCCCAAGACTCATTGAATACAAATTTTGCTACGTTAAACTTTGTCTAATCAGTCTCAGTTTCTGAGCTGTCACTAGCAGCAGTTTCTCCTTCTTCTAATCCTTCATTTTTATCATCTTCATGGACTTCTGAAAACTCAAGGTTTGCCCAGATTGAGACTGGCTTCTCTACTCTTTCACAGGTTAGTTTATTCCTTGATTTGGTGTGAGTATTTCCAAACATAGATCACTTTTTTTCACGTGCTGCCAAAGATGGAGGCAAGAAGCAAGAGGAGTCAGAGGCTGTGTCATACAAAGGCCTTGCCGCCATATTGCAGGAGGGATATGCTTGGCAGTCCCAGGCTGCGTTCTTGGACGAAATACCTGAAGACGTTCTGTATTTTACAGTATTTGAAAGTACCTTTCCAACATCGCGTCTGAAGTGTGTTGCTTGATTTGTAATCCAGTCAAATGCAGTAGCAGTGCTGTCACCACTAACATTTCTGCCTTTGAATCTTGGATCCAAGAGATTTGCAGCAGCATGAATTGGTTAGCAACAGAATTCTTTCTTTCTTCTGTACTTGTAAGCAGAGATGCACTTAGATTCTCAAAAACAGTTGATTTTATCTGGGCCATTTGGTAAGGAATGTCTGACAAAAGTGCGCTGTCCAATTCGGATGCATTGATTGCTGAAGAAATTGGCTTTAGAATCTTCAGGAAGTTCTGCAGCTGAACCCAGAAGACATCCTCATCAAGTGCAGTGTTCCTTATACTTCTGGGTACTTTAAGATCCTCGGTTATTACTGTTTCTTGAAGGGCTTCTTTGTTTTTTAGTAAACTTTCAGATGAGATCACCACCCCACCCCATCTAGTTTTACTACTGTTTGAGTGTCACTATTTTATTCTTTGCATTCTTTTCTTCCTGCTGCTTCTTAAAAACTAA